CCCCTGCGTCCTTACCGCGCATCCTTGTGGTACGGGCCGGCTGTAAGTGCAGGCTCGGTTGGCTTTCGAGTGGTGCGCTCCGGCTATGCTTTAGTCGGGCGTGTCCGTCTACAGGAGGAGTATTCAAAAATAGTCAAAGCATCGTCTGGGGGCGATTTTTTTTTATTATTCTTGACTAAACTTGCGTATGTTAGTTGCATTTGTTTTTTCTTCTTCGTCCGAAATCCGCCTGTATGTGGGAGACGCCCGACCGAAGGCGATGCTTCAGTGTGTATTCTGGTGGAAAAATGGCCTCAAAAGCTAAGCTCAACAACAACTCGGATAATACTCCGATTCAGCTCTGATTCAACTCTGGCCCGCAACTCTGGCCCGGAACTCTGTTTTGATCTCGGACTTTTTGAACTCTGATTTAGCTCTGGTCTGAAGGCTATGCTTTTGATTCGACTCTGTTTAGCTTTGTTTAACTCTGGTTTAACTCTGATTTAAGTTTCTTTAACTCTGATGTAACTCTGTTTCATGTTTTTTTTTTGAAGATCTGATTCTGAAGGCTATGTGCCTTCGGGGGCGGATCGACCGCTGCGGCGACGCGCCGCCTCTGGAGGGGGCATGGGGCCCCTCAGAGCGGAGCGGCCAGCGCCCGCAGGCCCCCAAAAGGGCCCCTCGGAGGGGCGGTGCCGGCCCGTCAGCCCCGCGCCGCCCCCCCCCCCTCCCCAGAAGGGGGCCCTCCCTCGGCCGGCAGGCGGCGCGCCTCCTGCATGGGGGACGCGCCCGGCGGCTGTGCTTCCGGGGCGGAGTCGACCAGCCGCGGCGACGAGCAGCCTCCGGAGGGGCGGGGGCCCCCCAGGGAGCGGCCAGCAGAGCGCGCCCCCGCAGGCCCAGAGAGTGCCCCTCGAAGGGCGGTGCAGCCCGTCGGCCCAAGCGCCCCCCCCCCCCCCAGGGGGGGGGGGCCCTCGCGAGCGGCGGGCGGCGCGCCTCCTGGGATCTGATCGTCAGCAGCGTGGAACCAACCCCAGGGTGCGGATGCCTTCGCCGCTCGCGAACACGCCCGGAGACCCTCTGTGCTGTTTTTTGTCGAGGCGGTGGCCCCGGAGGTCTCGACCTGTTTGTTCCCCGCGGTCGGCTTCTCATCCCGAGTCGCTCTTGGACGGCCCCGGGGGCCCCGCGAGAGGCCCCCGAGGCCGGAAGCCTCCGTTGGGCGGCGGGGCCCGAGCATCCCGGGGCGGAGGAACTCAGTGTCGTTTATCCGACCCCCGTCCCCATCCTCGTCCCCTTCGGCATCGCCGCCAAATTATACCACCCCAGTTGGGGAATGCGCCCCCCTCGAAGCCCGAGGGGAGCGGCCGAAACATTCCCCATCCGGGGGGGGCCTTTTCGGCGGGATCGGAGCCCAGAGGCCACGCCGCTGGGGAGGGGGGTCGGGGAAACGATGCTCAGATCGAGGAGGAGGGGCTCGAACATCCGCGCAGAGCGCAAACAGTTTATGTTTATGGCGCTTTTTCTTCTATCCCAAGGCAGGCGCGGCACGGAGTGCGCAGCCTCATCGCTAGAGAGGCCAGGAGAGGAACCGCTCCAGAGAGGCAGAGCCTCAAAGGGGGCCCCCTCTCGAGCGGCGGGAGGCGCGCCTCCGTGGATCAGATCGAGGAGGAGGGGCTCAACACCGAAGAAGAACAACTGCCACAGGCATAAACTTTGGGCGCTTCGCGCAGATTTCTTGGATCCGCGCTGGGCCCCCCCCAGGCGGCGCCTCCAGCGCGGCTTCAAGAAATCCGTGCGGAGCGCCAGAAGTTTGTGCTTGTGGCGATTTTTATCTTCCTCTGTCAGACGGCTGGCGTGGCACGGAGTGAGCAGCCTCATCGTGAGAGAGGCCATGAAAGGAGCCGCTCCAGAGAGGGAGTGGGGGAGAGACACCGTCGGAGCACGGGAGCCTTCAGGGTAGTGGGCGTCTAGTGTTTTTTTGGTGGCCCAGGGCATCATCCCAGGCCGCTTCAGAGCCACCACTTTTGCTACATATGCAAATCAAAATCTCCACCTACAGTCTGGGCGCCGAAGATGGAACCTTTTTCTTTGGGGAGGGGCTCCGTGCTCCTTGATTGTTTCGCAGCTTGCCTTAGGTTGTCCTTAGGTTGTCCTTAGGTGTTCGATGGGGAATCGAAGTTTAACTTATGGAAAAAAGGTGCCTCGTTCCTTATTTCGGGTTCCTTAGGTCAGCGCCCCGACTGTATCCCCTTGGATGTTGTTCCCAAAGGGGCTCCACAGATAAAGTCAGTAGCACGGGCCGCGGGTCCAGTCGTGAGTCGGTCCCCCTAGGTGACCCGCTCGTGCATGCCTGCGCGGCGTCCGAGGGCTGGCCACCGTTCGGGGGCGGCTCCCTCTGTGTTGGGTTGCGCATAGCTTTCTGCCATGCCTCCGATTTTGAGGATGGGTCCTGTTCTTGGCCGAATACTGGATTCGGGCTCTCCTGCAAAATCGCAGGCACCAGTATTTCTCCGCCGGCCGCTTAATCCTCAAAGATGGGTTCAGGTCCCTTGAAGCCTACAGCGAGCTTGGTAATCCCTCCCCGCTCCCCCCCGACGCCGACGACGATGCCGACAGCGATGCTGGCGCCGATGGCGTCGGCTTCGCGGGCAGTGCCCGCTGCCTGTGCACCGCCGCGCGCGCCGCCGCCCGCTCCTCTCTCTCGAGGAGTTCGGCCCGTTTCCGGCGGACACGATGCGGGAGTGGTTTCAGCAGGCGGGGCGCCTCTCCTCCGGCCCCGGGGCGGCGGCGACCGTGCGCTCGTCCGTGCGGGCGTCGTCTGAGGGCGCTGCCGGGGTGCATGGGGAGCGTCGTGGCCTCTCTCTCTCTCTATATATCTATACATATATATATATATATATATATAAGTACATCTATCTATGTATAAGCATTTGCATCTGTGTATATATATATATATATCTCAACATATCCATCTATCTATATATATATATATATATACATGTATATACATAGATCCGTGTTGATATCCCCAACGTCCTCCAATGACCCCCCGCCGAGATTTTCGAAAGCGAGTGCGGGCCACGTGGCCACAGCCGCACGCGGAGCACGAGGCGCGCGACAGTTTTTCGCAGGCGGGAGCCCCCAAGGGGGGCCGGGCGCCGTGAGTGCAGGGTGCGGAAGCAGCAATCGGGCCAGGCGAAAGGGGGGGATTGGGAAAGGGGGGGTTACGATATTTGCTGCACGTAGCTGGTTTCGGCCCCGCCGAGGGGCACATTTCTCGATACATGGCCGCCTCCGGCGCTGGGAGGCGCCGGGAAAATCAGCTACGCGAGCTGATTCTCAAACCCCCCCTTGGCTATCCCCCCCCTTCCGCCCGACCCGAATCACGATCCCCTCCCAGCCGGGCCAGCGCTTGTTTCTCGCAGGCAGAGCGTGGCCCTCGAGGGTCGCACCGTGTCGTTTTCCGGAAGGTATTCGAAGTGGGCTGTTCGGCCCCGGACTACAGCAGCAGCTCTCGCCTGGTACTGCCTCGCGCATGTCTCCAGCTGCTTGTGGCACCCCGTATTCTGTGTGGCGACTGTCCGAGAGGGCATTTGAGGCCGTCCCTTGGGACCCTCTTCGGGCCCTCTTGGGGTCCTCCTGTGGCGTCGTGGGGCTCTCTTTCGCCGTCTTGGGGCTCTCTTGTGCTGACGTGAGGCCCTCTTGGCCGTACGTGGAGTGTCTTGAGTCGTCGCGGGACCGTCTTGGTGCCGTTTCGGGCCTTCGAAGGGTCTTTTAAGGGCACCGAGTCTCTCCAGAGGCTTCTTGGACTTTCTTGGAGGCTTGTTGGGCCATCATGGGGTCCTCTTGAGCCGTCTTGGGACCACATTGCCTCTTGGGCCGTCTTGAGGCCATTGGAGAGCCTTCTTGAGCTGATAGGAACCCATAAAGGCGAGAATGCGGAAATCATTCAAGACCGCAGGCAAATCACAGGTCTGGAATTCTGCGGGCCCTGTTGGGGGTCCTTCAGGCGATGCGCAATTGGTTGATTGCGTCATCCATACTTGAGCCATTGGTTGCGCCCCTTCCCCCCTCCTCCTCCTCCTCCTCCTCCTCCATTTCCTCCCTTTCCTCCTCCTCCTCCTCCTCCTTCTCCCGCTCCTCCTCTTCTTCCCAGCCCGATGGCGGGGTGATCGTCTGGTGCCCCCTCTCCGCGGCGCCGTCGGGGGCGGCTTGTCGCGCCCCGCGTCCCCCCCCTTTCGTGATGGGCCGATTTGCCACTACCACCACCATAGGGAGGCGGAGGAGGAGGAGGAGGAGGAGGAGGAGGAGGAGGAGGAGGAGGAGGAGGACCTCCCCTCCTCCCCCTCCTCCCTTCGCCCCTGTCCTACCTATGGCAGCGGTGGTGGACAGTTGGCCCATCACTTCTGCCCCTCGTCTTGACTGGCAGCACGCTTCACGGGCACGAGCTCCCGCAGGGCCCGCGGGGATGTCCTGCGTGGGTCGGCGCTGCCCCCGCCCCATTTGCAAGGCCCACGTCGATCCGGTCCGATCCGCATCGCTGTCGATTTTTGACCAGCTCGACACGACTCGTTCAGTGGCAAATCTTTGGAGCCTTGTTCTCGTAGTTCTGTCTTTTGCGTCGATTGGTGTCGACTAGCTATTGGGATTCGATGAGATAGCGCCGATTTCGCGTCGGCTAGCGTCGATTAGCGTCGATTTAGCGTAGACTTAGCGTCGATTCGCCAGAGCCGACAAGATGGTACGGGAGGCTCCCATGAGTTGCTACCGAATATTCGGTTTCGTCCCGATGCTTGCGCTGCGCTGTTGTGCATCTTGGCGCGGTGGATCCGATCCGGTTCCGACCCCATGCCGATGTGGATAATTCCGATTGACAGGTCGATTCGATCCGATTCCCCGATCCGATGCTGGTTGATCCCGCTTCGGGCTCTTCGCTTCCTGGCGCTCCGCGGATCACGTATATGTATGAAAGTGCGTCAGTGGATCTCCCTGAATACACTAAGGGGGGGGGTCCAGAACCCCCCCCCCTCCCCCCCTTCAAGGAGGGGGGGGGGGTCCGGAACCCCGCCCCCCCTCCCCCCCTTAAGGGGGGGGGGTTCACGGAACCTCCCCCCCTCCCTTGAGGGGTGGGGGGGGCGTCAGACCCAGGACCCCCCCCCACTCCCCCCCTTGGCGCTGGAAAGGGGGGGGGGTCGGACCCACCCCCCTCGTGCAGGGAATACGGAGTTGGGAGTAGGGAGTGGTGAGTAGTGAGTAGTGAGTTAGTGCGTAGTGAGTAGTGAGTATTGGGTAGTGAGTAGTGGGTAGTGAGTGGCGAGCAGGGAGTATGGAGTAGGGAGTGGGGAGTGGTAAGTAGTGAATAGTGAGTAGTGTGTAATGATAAGTGAGTAGTGAGTGGCGAGTAGTGAGTAGTGAGTAGTGAGTAGTGAATAGCGAGTAGCGAGTAGTGAGTACTGAGTAGGGAGTAGGGAGTAATGAATAGTCGGTAGTGAGTAGTGGGTCGTGAGTAGTGGGTGGCGAGTAGTGATTAGTGAGTAATGAGTAGTGGGTAGTGCGTAGTGCGTAGTGAGTAGTGAGTAGTGAGTAGTGAGTAGTGGGTAGTGAGTAGTGAGTAGTGCGTAGTGAGTAGTGTGTAGCGAGTAGTGAGTAGTGAGTAGTGAGTAGTGAGTAGTGAGTACTGAGTAGTACGGAGTGCGTAGTGAGTAGTGAGTAATGAATAATGATGAATAGAGAGTAGTGGGTAGTGGCAGTGGGTAGTGAGTAGTGAGTAGCGAGTAGGGAGTAGCGAGTAGTGACTAGTGAGGAGCGAGCAGGGCGAAGTGAGTAGTGAGTAGTGAGTAGAGCGTAGTCAGTGGTGAGTAGTGGGTAGGCAAGTAGTGAGTAGTGAGTAGTGAGTAGGGAGTAGGGAGTAATCAGCAGTGAGTAGTAAGATGTGGGTAGCGAATAGTTGGTAGTGAGTAGCGATTGGTGAGTAGTGGGTAGTGGGAAGTGACTAGTGGCTAGTGACTGGTGAGTTGTGACTCGTGACTAGAGACGATGTGGCGACTAGTGAGTAGGGAGTAGTAAGTAGTGAGTAGTGAATAGTGAGCAGCGGGGAGTGAGTAGTAAGTATTGAAAAGCGAGTATGGGAGTAAAGAGTAGTGAGTATTGAGTACTGTGTAGTCAGTAGTCAGTATTGTGGAGGGAGTAGGGAGTAGCGAGTAGCGAGTAGTGGGTAGTGAATCGTGTTTTGTGGGCAATGAGTAGTTAGTAGTGAGTAATGAGTAGTGGATAGTGGGTAGTGGGTAATGAGTAGTGATTAGTAGTAGTGAATAGGGAATAGTGAGTAGTGGTTAGTGAGTAGTGAGGATTGAGTAGTGGGTAGTGAGGAGTGAGTAGTGAGTAGTGAGTAGGGAGGGGGGAGTAGTGAGTACGGAGTAGTGAGTAGCGAGTAGTGGGTGGTGGGTAGTGAGTAGTGGGTAGTGAGTAGTGAGTCGTGAGTAGTGAGTCGGGGGTAGTGAGAAGTGCGTAGCGAACAGCGAGTAGTCAGTAGTGGCTAATGAGTAATGAGTAGTGGGTACTCTTCGGGGCTGGGGTTAGTGGTTGGGGTTCGGATTAGGGGTTTGGGTTACGGTAAGGACTAACTTAGGGGTAGGTGGCGGGCCCGGGTTCCGGAGTCCGGTGCGGCGTGGCGAAGGGGGGGGGGTCGGGACGCCCACCCGCCCATTTTGAAAGGGGGGGAGGGGGGGGGGTTCCCCACGACGGATCGGGAAAGGCGGGAGTTGGGGGGGGCTCCCGACGACGGCGCAATCGGGGAAGGGGGGTGCTGGGTTGGGGTTCCCCGAGACGATCGGGAATAGGGGGGGGGGGGGGGGGTCCTAACCCCCCCCCTCTGGGGAGATCCAGCGGCGCACACTAATATATATATATATATATATAAATATACATATATATATGTATATGTATGTGTATATATATATATATGCGCATGTATATGTATATGTATATGTATGTGTATATGTATATGCATATGTTTAGGAATACGTGTATGCATATGTATTTATGTTTGCATATGTATATGTAAATGGGTCGATATATGCATATGTATATGTACATGTATGTGTGTGTATGTGTATTTGGTTACGTACATAAGTATAGACATCTTCATATGTACGTGTATATGCATATGTATATGCATATGCAGATGCATGTGCATATGCACATGTTTATGTATATGTATACGTATAGGTATATGTATATGTATATGTATATGTATATGTATATGTATATGTAAATGTATATGCAGATGTATGTGTATATATATGCATATGTAAAGGTGTATTTATATGTATAGGCTTACATGCATACGTGTATTCATGTTAAATCTGTGTTTGTAATATTATATAGGTATATGTCTATGCATGTGTATGTGTATATGTTTATGTATTTTCATATAGTATGCGTATCTGTATATGTATGCGCACATGTATGTGTATACGTCTACATGTATATGTATATACGCATGTTTCGTGTATGTTTATATACATACATATCTATCTATATATCTATATATCTATCTATCTATCTATCTATCTATCTATCTATATATATATATATGCACATTCCGATGCATACACACATTGACATACACATGTATGGGCATCTGTCCAGGCTTATGTGTATGCATCTCTATATCGATACACACATATATATATGTATATATATATGCATACACTTTCGTTTTTTTTTCAATGCGCGGACCCAGAGATTCCGACCCTTTCCCTGGAGCAGATTTTCGTCCCAGATCCATTTGTGATGGTCCCAGGTCCAGATGCTGGGCCTTCGAGCCCGAGCAATAACGCTGGGAGTGGAACATCAATTCGCCGGATGTCTGGGCTGCTTCTTCCCTGCGCCTTCCGTCTGCCGCCCCTCATCGCCCCTCCCCCGACGTGTTCGATCGATTTGGGGCGGCCCGTCCTTACCCACTTATGCAGGTCTCTGCACGGCCGGTCTCGGGAACCCCTGGGGCCGTCAATCCTCAAGCAGATGATCCAGTGCGAAGCCTGGTCCCCGAGAAGCGGCGCCGAGAGCTCGGGGGTCCGCATTGCCCGCGTCACGAACCGAAACCACGACGCTGGAGATCTGTGACCCACCCCGTGTCCCCCACCTGCCCTGCCCAACCTTCTCCTTCCCCCTGCCCCACTCCTCCTTTTTGTCCTTCTCCTCTTCCTCATGCTCCTCCTTCTGCTGCTCCTGTTCCTCCTGGCCATCCTCTCCCGTGTATAGTTATTTTTGTTTATTCTCATCCATTGTATTGCGAAGGCCTTACGGCCGGTGCCGCCGACCCTGAAGACAACGAGGATGAAGACGAGGGGGAGGAGCAGGAGGAGGAGGCAGAGGAGGTGCACGAGAAGGGGGAGCAAGGGGGGGAGGAGGAGGAGGGGACCGCCTTGGGGCTTCTTGGGGCTTCTTTTGGGCTTCTTGGTGGCCTCTTGGGGCCTCTTGTGGGGCTCTTGGGGGTCTTCTGGTGTTTCTTGGGGACTTCTTGGCGCCCAGGGCGTCACGGGTGCCTCTTGGAACCGACGTGGGGGTCTCGTGGGCAGTGGAAGACTTCTTGGAAGACGACGACAACGACGACGACGACGACTCACGCAAGATGACAAGCTCGGGACACGTCTTCCACACGTCGATAGGGTCGGCGGATTTGATGTCTTTGGGGGCTTGCTGTTTTTTTGGGGGCCTCTTGGGTTTCTCTTTGGGGGGCTTCCGCAGGTCTCTTGGGACCCACTTGGAGGCTCCGGGCGCCACGCAGAGGGAAATGTGATCTCAGTTCGTGTCTCGGCCTTTGCAGGCTCTCCTGGAGGTCCTATGGGAGCCCTTCTGAGCGATTTTGCTGGGCTTCAGCTTTCTCGAGGCCGTCCTGGGCCACCTTGCGGCTATCTTGGGTGATCTTTATTGGCAGCGTCTTGGGAGCGATCTTGAACCGTCTCGGGCCCTCTAGGGGCCTTCTGAATCGCCTCAAGCCGCGCGCTGCAGGACTTCCGCCCAGGCTCTTGGGTGCCAGGCTCCCCTCCCCCGAATGGAGCCGCCCGGGCTCTCCCCCCCCCTCCGGATATCCGGGTGGAACCCCTCCCCCCTCCCCACCCCTCTCCCCTGGGGGAGGGAATAAAAGGGAAGGGGCTTCCCTTCGAATGAGCTACGTTCGTTTATTATCATCCATTGTATTTGTTTGATTTTCTGTCTCTCACTCTCTCTCTCTCTGTCTCTTTCTTTATGTTATATGAGTGCGCGGGCCCCCCAGAGACATTCCTCCTCCGGAAGCAGACGAACCCGTAATAGTTTCTTCATAATCTTCAGAGAAATACGCGAAAGACGCAGAGGTCCAGTCCAAGCCCACGGAAGCCTTACGCTTCGTCCCCCTCTTCTCTTACTTCTCCTCCTCCTCCGCCTCCCTCGCTTTAATCCGGACCCGTCCCTCTACAGGAGGAGTATTCAAAAATAGTTAAAACATCGTCAGGGAACTATTTTTTGCGTATCTTTTGACCATTTGGGACCATTTTTTGAGTTTTTTTTTTCGGCGAAAATCCCTCTGTAGAGGGACACGCCCGACTTGACCCTCGCTCCCTCCTGCCTCCCATGCCTCTCCCCCTCCCTCCCTTCTGCAGGAGGGGGCCCGCGGTGCCCCCCCCTGCGGTCTGCACTCCTCCGGGAGCACGGGCCCCTCCTCCACACGTGTGAGCCGCGTTAGGGTTGTGGAGGACGATCAATGGAGAGGGATCACGTTGCCAAACAATTTCCAGATGTCTGAAACATGTGTTAAGCATGCTGTAAGCATGTGAAAAACATGTTCAAAACATGTCTAGAACATTTTTCCGACATTTGAAGCGCATTTTCAATTCAATGGTAGGGCTGTTAGGGTGTCCACTGTCTTGGCATCCACAACGTCAGGGGGCCACATGCGAACCCCACCCCTACCCTCCACGATCTCTGAGGGGGAAGGGGGAAAGCTTCGCATGTGGCCCTCCACGTGTGGAGGGGGCCAGGAGGGCAGCGCGCAGGCCCGCGGGGCCGCCCGAGCCGCCCCGCGCGCGGCGGCGCCCCCAGGGCTTCTTCCCCATCGGCGAGGAGCTCCAAGTGAGGCCGCCCTGTCGCGCCGCCCGCCCGAGAGGTCCTGCGCGACGTTGGCAGGCCGAGCAGCTCGGCTCCGAGAGCACACGCAGAGGCGAGCGCGGGAGAGCTGCGCGCGTGTGTCTGGAGGCCGGGTTCGGCTTCCGGTGGCGCGCGGGTCTCTCGGGGTCGGTCGGTTTCCAGAAGGATCCGCGAGGATTGCGCGTGGTGTGCTTCTTGGGCGAGTCGAGCCTGGCTTCCAAGACCGCGCAGCTCTCTCATCGTGCTTCGTCGATTTTTTGCCTAACGATCCTGTGTTGACTTCGGTCCTCGTTTTGAAGTGACAGCGCCCCGCGTCTCATCTCATCTCATCTCATCTCATCTCCTCCTCCTCCTCCTCCTCCTCCACTCCTCCCCCTCCTCCCCCTCCTTACTTCTGCTCTCCGCATCAGTCAGTCTACAATTTCGACACATCCCTCACACGTTTCGTGGCCCAATGGGTAGCTCCACCGAAGATCCCAGTGGCGCAGATCGCATGCGGTCCCGCACCCATTTCGGCACACCCCTCACACGTTTCGTGGCTGCATCGGGAGCTCCACCAGAGGTCTCAGTGGCGCAACTCAAATGCGGTCGCGCGTCAATTTCGGCACACCCCTCACGCTTTTCGTGGCCTCATTGGGTGCTCCACCGAAGGTCCCAGATGCGTAGTTCGCATGAGGTCCCGCACCCATTTCGGCACACCCCTCACACGTTTCGTGGCCGCATCGGGAGCTACACCAGAGGTCCCAGTGGCGCAACTCAAATGCAGTCCCGCACCCATTTTGGCACACCCCTCACACGTTTCGTGGCCTCATAGGGAGCTCTACCGAAGTTCCCAATGCCGCAGTTCGCATGCGGTTCCGCACCCGTTTCGGCACACCCCTCACACGTTTCGTTGCCCCATTGGGAGCTCCACCGAAGGCCCCGGTTGTGCAGTTCGCATCTGGCCCTGCACCAATTTCGGCGCACCCATCACACGCTTCGTGGCCCCATGGGGAGCTCCACCGAAGGTCCCAGGGGCGCAGTTCGCATGCGGTCCCGCACCCATTTCGGCACGCCACTCACACACACACACACGTTTCGTGGCCGCGTCGGGAGGTCCACCAGAAGCCCCAGTAACGTGACTCAAATGTTTTCCTGCATCAATTTCGGCACACCCATCACACGCTTTGTGGCCGCGAGCTCCACCGAAGGCTCCAGCGGTGCAGTTCGCATGCGGTCCCGCATCCATTTCGGCACAACCATCACCCGTTGCGTGGCCCCATTGGGAGCTCCATCGAAGTTTCCAGTGGCGCAGTTCGCATGCTGTCCCGCACCCACTTCGGCACAATCTTCACACGTTTTGCGGCCCCACAGGGAGCTCCACCGAAGGTCCCAGTGGCGCAGTTCGCGCGCCCCAGTTCGGCGCACCCCTCACACGTCTCGTGGCCTCATAGTGAGCTCAGCCGAAGGTCTCAATGGCGCAGTTCGCATGCGGTCCCTCACCTATTTCGACACACCCCTCACACGTTTCGTGGCCCCATGGGGAGCTCCACCGAAGATCCCAGTGGCGCAGATCGCATGCGGTCCCGCACCCATGTCGGCACGCCACTCACACGTTTCGTGGCCGTGTCGGGAGCTCCACCAGAGGTCCCAGTGGCGCAGTTCACATGCGGTCCCGCACCCATTTTGGCACACCCCTCACACGGTGGCCGGATCCGGAGCCCCACCGAAGGCCCCAGTGGCTGCGGCCGCATGAGCCCCTCCCGGCCCATGTCGGCACACCCCATCACGCGTTGCAGCGTCCGCACACAGCCCCCTCTCTCGGCACACCCCTTCACGCGTTGCGTGGCCCCACAGGGAGCTCCCGGCGAAGACGGCTCAAAACTGCGACGCTCACAACTGCATGATGGTTGGGTCCTTCGCCAGGCTACTATTGTTCCGGCCTCCTCGAGCGGCCTCGTCGCCTCCTCCCCCTCCCTCCTCCCCCCCATCCGTCCTCCCCCTCCTCTCTCCTTCTCCTCCCTCCCTCTCCCAGCCTCCCTCCTCGCTCTCCCCCCCCGTCCCCACTGCCTCCCTCCCACTCTTCTCCCCTCCCCTCCCCTTACCCCTCCCCCTCCCTCACTCCCTCCTCCCTCCTCCTCCTCCTCCTCCTCCTCCTCCTCCTCCTCCATCCTCCTCCTCCTCCGCCTCCTCCTCCTCCTCCTCCTCCTCCTCCTCCTCTCCTCCTCCTCCTCCTCCTCCTTCCTCCTCCTCCTCTCCTCCCCCTCCTTCCTCCTCCTCCTCCTCCTCCTCCTCCTCCTCCTCCTCTCCTCTCTCCTCCTCCCCCTCCTCCTCCTCCTCCTCCTCCTGCCTGCCTCCTCCTCCTCCTCCCTCCTACCTCCTCCTCCTCCTCCTCCTCCTCCTCCTCCTCCTCCTCCTCCTCCTCCTCCTCCTCCTCCTCCTCCCCTCCTCCGGCCTCCTCCTCCTCCTCCTCCCTCCTCTCCTCCTCCTCCTCCTCTCCTCCTCCTCCTCTCCTCCTCCTCCTCTCCTCCTCCTCTCTCCTCCTCCTCCTCTCCTTCCTCCTCCTCCTCCTCCTCCTCCTCCTCCTCCGACCTCCCTCCTCCTCCTCCTCCTCCTCCTCTCCTCCTCCTCGCCTACCCCCCCTCCTCGCCCTCCCCTCCTCGTGTCACCTATGGCCCCCGGGGGAAACCGTCCATCGGGACCCCAGATCACCTCCGACAGGGGCCCGAGCGCGCGCTTGCGCTTTGCGCTTTTGTGTCTTTCTGGCTCGGGCCGTCGGCCCTCTCGGGGGCCTCTCGATATCTTCGGCCTCGGCTTCTGGCGTGCGTCGGAGGAGCGCGCGCCCGAGGGCGGGGCGCCGGTTGCTTGCGCGCTCTCGCTGCCGTTACTCAGCCACGCGCAGAGGGGGCAGGAGGAGGAGGAGGAAGAGGAGGAGGACGAGGAGGAGGAGGAAGAGGAGGAGGAGGAGGAGGAGGAGGAGGATGAGGAGGGCTCCTTAGAAGCACCCCTGCTTCTAAGGAGCCCTCCCCCCTCCCTCCACCCCCTCGTGCGCACTGCCAAGTTACGCGGCGCCGCCCCCCGCGACGGCTGCCAGGGAGCGGGCGCGCGCCTCCGGGAGGCGCGAGGTCGGCCGCGACGGCATTCTTCGCGGGCAATTTCTTGGCCCAAGCCTCCGCGCTGCAGGGGGTTCAAGTCGAGACAATGGCGGCCCTCCCTCCCGTGTGGCGTCCTCTTTTCGGGGGCCTCTGGAGGCTTCTCGTCGCCACGGCCGGGCCCGCCTCGAACAATGGGTCAGTTGCCCAAGTAGTTCTCTTCTTCCTCCTGTTGCCTCCTCCTGCTCCTCCTCCTCCTCCTCCCCATCTACCCGAGGCCGGGGCTATTGCAGAGAGAGAGAGAGAGAGAGAGCGCGGCAATCATGTTAGCCATCTCTCGCAGGACAGTGTTTCTATACGGCCGGATGCTCCAGCTCCATTCGCGCGCAAGGTATTTGAGTTAGCTGGTGGCTTCAAGATTGCGTCGCCGAGCCTGTCATCGTGCTGCTGTGTCCGCTCCCCCTCCTCCCCTCTAACCTTGCGCTGGATATCTTTGTGCATATGTATATACATACATATTTAAGCGTATGCATGTATACACATATATTTTTATATATATATATATGCATATATACACACTTGTGGACATCATCGACGTACTTGTTTATACCTGTACGGAGGAATACGTAACATGCATACATCTATACACATATGTACGCATCCATTCATGTAGGTATGACAACATAAATACATGACACCTGTATTGGTAGGTGCATTAGTACTTGATAACCTTCGGCCCATCCCGCCACCGTGCCTAGCTTGTGTGTCTGAGGCCTCTTGGATGGTCATTCGGATTTTGTCGAGGCCTCTCGGGGGCCTCCTGGAGGCACTTTTAAAGCTTCTGGGGGGCTGAGAAGGCAGGGTCTCTCCGACCATACTCCAGAGCTAGAAGAGTGGTCAGGCATCTATCCCCCTTCGAGACTCCCCCCAGTAAGCCTACCCAACGCCCTCTTGGACCCCTTTTTGGGCCGTCTTGGGGCCCTCTTAGACTGTCATGGGCGCGCGTCTTGAGCCGTCTTGGTGCTCTCTTGGGCCTTCTGGGGGCGATCTTGGGGAGGTCTTTGGCGCCTCTTGGGACGTCTTGGAGTGGCGGTAGCTAGAAAAGTGGAGATCCCAGAAAGCATCGACAACCTTCACAACCTGGGTGATTTTGGCCCCTCGGGGCCCTCTTGGGAAGGCTCTTGGGCCTCCCTTGAGGCGCCTCGAAGGCTTCTTGGGCCGTCTTCAGGCCATCTTGGGCGTCTTGGCAAGCTCTTTGGCCGTCTCGGAGGCCCCTCAGACCCTCCTGGGCGCTTTTCGAAGCTCTCTTCGCTCGTCTCTGGGCTCGAGAGTCTAGAGTCCTCGCTGCAGCAGAAGCGCAGTTCTGAGCCGTGGGGCCCCCCATTTCGTGCCAGAGGCACAGGGGTGGATATATGTACAGGGAGAGAGGGAGAGAGGGACCGAGAGGGAGGGAGAGAGAGAGAGACAGAGAGAGAGGGAGGGGGAGAGGATGATACACACATATATGTATATGTATATGTATATGTATGTATGTGTATATATATATATCTATAGAGAGAGAGAAGAAGAGAGAGAGAGAGA